AAAAAAAAAATGTCAAGGCTGCCGAGTGGCTAGAGTCCAGCTTTTGGAATATGACCAACTTTCTTTCCAAATTCTGAGAGGCTGAGACAGGAGGATTGCTAGTTTGTTGTTTTTTGTTTTTGATACCAGGGATCGAACTCGGAACCTTGCGCTTTCGAGGCAGGCAGCGGAACCACTAAGCTAAATCCCCAGCCCAGGATTGCTAGTTTGAACCCAGCCTGAGCAACTTAGCAAGATCCTGCCTCAAAATACTATAATTTTTGTTTTGGTTTGGTTTTTTTGTTTTTTTGGTACCGGGGATCCAACTGAGGACCTTGCTCTTATGAGGCAGGCATGGCACCACTGAGCTAATTAAATCCCTGTCCCTCCAGCCACAATTCTGCTGTCTTTATTTTTTGTTCTGACTTCCTAGAGGACCCAATCCCTGTCTGTGTATTAATTTTTTTTTTTTTGTACCGGGGATCGAACTCAGGTCCCTGTGCTTTCGAGACAGGCAGCGTAGCCACTGAGCTAAATCCCTGGCCCTGTGTATTAATTTTTAACCTAACTTCGCTGCCTGTAATAATAGAGCCCCCCAGGGTTTTATTCTGAGCACAAAACAAAAAACAAAAAACAAAAAAAAGTCAGTTGATAAAGACTTTCAGTTCTAGAGGCTGGAGGTGTAGTCAGTGGTAGAGCACACGTCTAATGTACCTAGGCTCAGTTTGTTCCCCATTGCTTGCAAAAACAAAACAAAATAAGACTTCTACCTCTGGCTGTGAATGAATAACTTGGATTTGACCAACTCTTCCACTAAAAACACCCAGAGCTGTATAAAATGTAAAAAGAAAAGACTTTTTCAAAGTGATGGGAAGGTATCAGAAAGACGGAGACAGCTAGGATTGGAAGGGCTGGGATCTTAAAGAGAAGGGAAATTCCTCAAGGGGAACCCGACATTCTCATACTTTCTCCCCATATTTTGGGATTGATTGGACTCGCAGAGATGCCCTACTTCCTTTGTGGCACAGATTGTGGAGCCAGAGAGCTTGGAGCCAGTCCCCACCCCTGCACTTTGTACCACTGTTTCTCTGTGACTCCTGGGGAGCCCCCCTTCCGTGCTCAGTTTGCCCATCTGTACAGCACATGCACAGTCCCTCGTTATTCTCAGGTTCTGTACTTGTGGAGGTGCCTACTCACTGAAGTTTATGTTACCCCAAACAGTGCTCCTGGCACATTGGCACTCATGCCACAGCCATGTTCTGAGTCCCTGGGACCAGGTTCCCAGCAGAGGTCAAAGTGGGTTTCCTCTGCCTGTCTCAGCTCTCAAGAGTGTGATTAAGTGGCCTTGTGCAGGTCACTGCGGATACAGCCCAGCGGTACACTGCTTGTGTAGAATGCGAGAGGCCCTGGGTTCCATCCCCAGTACAAGAAGGAAAAAAGGGAAAGCAGAGTGTGGTGGCTCATGCATACAATCCCAGCACCCTAGGAGGCTGAGGCAAGAGGATTGTAAGTTCAACCCCAGCAAGACAAAAATTTTAAAAGGGCTGGGGATGGAGCTCAGTTCCCTAGTACCATGAAAACTAATTAATTAATTAAGTGGGCCCAAGCCTAGTGCTGAAGAAAGCACAAGGAGACTGATACATACCTTACAGAGAAAATCCACGTGACAGATCCACTTCACTCAGGTGTGGGTTACAGTGCTGTTGTCCCAAGTTCAGTGTTAGTGAATGAGCAGTAAATAAAATAAGGTGTCCTTAAGCAGAAACACAAGTAAACCAAGGTTCTCTTTTACTCCGTTGGTGAAGCTGTTTTGGCCAGAGGTTTGCAGGTGTCTAACTCTGTGTTCCCCTAGGAATAATTCACTAATTGGGTGTTCATAGCAACTTTCTAGGACCTGACTGTTGTGAATGACAGCAGCAGTAATACTGCCCTTCTAGGATTACAATGAAGCTAAATGAGTCCATGGCAGTGCCCAGGAAATAGACACCCTCTTCTCCTTCAGAGCCACCCTCTTCTCCTTCAGAGCCGCCCTCTCTAAACTGACTGTGCTCTGCCTCCCATGTCCCCTCTGTTCACCTTCAGCTCTGTGCCCTCCGTCACCTTTCTGACCTTACCTGGTGGTGCTGAGGATTGAAGAGCCATCCTGATCTCTGACCACTGCCATGGCAACCAGAATGACCTTTGGAGGCCAGGAACCTTAGCACCGACCTCCTCACGCCCTCCAATGCCTTCCTGGGGGGAGCCCTGCTGGCTCCTTCCCAGAGCCCAGCCGCCCCTCATGGCTCCCAGCCTCACCTCCCCACCACCCTCTCCTCTCGGACAGCACCACTCTCTCCAGCTCAGCTCATGTGTGTTTCATGCCCCTTGGTAACTGGTCAGTGGGTTGTGCACAGCACAGCCTGGTAATAGCTCAGACCTGTCCCTTGGTGACCAGCAGTTAGGGATGAAGAACATCCACAGGTCTCGTTCTGCAGCTATTGGCAGTCCCAGCCCTCATCTACACTTTGGCAGACTTCCACCCCTTGCTGTTTTTTGTGCTTTGCTTAATCATCTTGGAGACATGGTGGGATTCTCCCCTGCCTCCCACAAACCACCTCCCCCTGAGTAGCCTGTGCAGTGATGACCAGTCAGACCCCTGTCTGGATGGAAATGCCCTGTGTGCCACCAGCCGTATGTTGCCAAGGACACTTGAAATGTGGCCAGCATGACTGGGGAGCTATCTTACTTTATCTCAATACATTTAAATTTCAGTAGCTACATGTGACTCACGGCTGTCCCATTGGACAGCACACACTTAGAGACTGGGGAACTCATTGTAATGTACTATAGAAAGGTAAAGAACAATTTCCAAAACATTCTAGCCAGGCCTAGTGGTTCACACTTGTAATCCCAGCACTTTCAGAGAATGAGGCAGAAGACCCAAAAAGTATGAGCCCAGCCTGGACAACTTAGCAAGACTCAGTAAAAAATTAATCAATTTCAAAAAAAGCGGGGGGTGTAGCTCAGTGTGAAGACCCTGGATTCAATCCCTAGTATTGCAAAGGGGAGGAGAGATTCCTGAAAAACTGTAACTGGCTAGTGTGTGCAGAGCCCTAGGTTTAATACTCAGCACTAAAAGAAAAAAAGTCCCATGGTAACTTTTTTTTTTTGGTACCGGGGGTCAAACTCGGTTCCTTGTGCTTGCAAGGGAGGGGGCAGAACCGCTGAGCTAAATCCCTTGCCCCCATGGTGACTTTTTTAACAGTAGTAGGGATTGAACCTTAGGGCCTTTACACGGAGCTATATCGCCAACCCTTTTTTTTACTTTTTATTTTGAAACAGTGTAAGTTGCCCAGGCTGGGCTTGAACCTATGATTCTCCTGCCTCTGCTTCCCAGGGTGCTAGGATTATAGACATGCGCCACCATCTCCAGCTAACATAGTTCCTCTTTAAAGCAAAAGTAGTAATATATAAATCATGTATTACTGGATCATAATTAACTGATAAATGGTAATGTAATGTTCTTAACTTTGCGTTTTAGAATCTAAACCTCTACTACCTCAACCAGATTCTAAATGGTAAAAAGCAGAGTGTCCATTTGATGCATTTGAGGAACTCAGGAACTTTGGGCGACACAGGGTAAGATTAAAACATCTTTCACCTCACAGAGATCTCCTCCTCTCTCACTACCCCTTTTCTCTCTTGTATGGAACCTGTTTCTCTCTGAGACCAGCTGTCATCGGCATCTTTCCACATCTCTGAGACCCATCACATTATCTTTAATGCAGTAGGGACAAGTTATATGGCTGCATCATAACTCATTTAACCCATCCCTTAATATTGGACCTTCAGGTTGGTTCCAGAGTAGTGTTATTTTCATTAGTATCCTGGTCAAGATAGGCCACGCTGCTGTAACAGACAGATCCAAGAATGCAGTGGTTCAAACCAGAAATGGTTTGTGTCACCCTCTCTGCAGGTTGTGGCTGGTGTACAGCATGCACTGTGCAGGCAGGCTCAGCAATCATCTGTGACTCCCTCTGCCTCCACTTACGTCTCCTCACATCAGTGCCTGTCTGTCTGCTTCATTGTGGAGGTCAGATCACCTTGTCCACATTCCATTCAGCAGAAAGGGCTAGAAGTAGCACTTGTCCCTCACCCACATTCCAGAAAGGACTTAGTCACATGGCCCTAGCTCACTTCGAGGAAGGCTGGGAGTGTCCTCTTGTGAGTGTCCTGGAAGAAATGGGCAGGAAGCTGTGAAGCTGTCCTGCACTGTTGAGTCTACCCTCTGCCAACTGTCACCTACAGGATTCTCCTTCCCAGCACAGATGTACCCCAGCAGCAAGGGAGTCAAGCAAGGGCCCATTCAGTTCACTGAAGCCACTGACAGCAGGGAGCAGGATAAGTGCAGTAAGAACTCCTATTCAGAGAAGAGGTGCATCCCTGCCCCATGGCAGTGATGACATCCCCCTGGGCAACCTAGGGACAACCTCGCCCTGTCCTCTCGAGCCCTGGCTTAGCCTCTGGGCGGCTCCTCTTTGTCTGTTATCCTTTGGCTGTGCAGGCAGTGGGAAGTCTTTCCAGCCTACTTCTGACTGGCAACAGTCTGGGTCCGAAGGCTATTTTAGGGCTCTCATAGGCTAACCTAGGCCAGGCTCATTTTTCTTTGTTAATATGGTTTTCCGCAAAACCTGGTAGACTTCTGATCTGTTTACCATTAGCCAGTCCCGGGTGTCAGTAACCACATCCAAATGTCTTCCCTGGGTGGAAGCCTCCAGCTACTGTATTTCTTTGCATGCCCCCATGCCCAGCTCTGTGAACATAAAGGAGGTACCCTGAGGTCTTAAAAAGAAAAGCGTAAGACTGGGGACCAGTCTTGAGTGCCCTCAATTTAATTTTTACAAAGAAGCTTTGATCCCTTTTCTGGCTTAATGGAAGGTCTTTGTGTCCAAGGCCTTAGACTCCTTTGACTTTTCCATCACCAGGCAGCTATTGATCTTGAAATGCTCAATTTCACTGCATCTCCTTGCAAACATGCCATTTGTCCCCTGGCTCACCATTTCTTGTCACACCTGCAAAAAGCAGTAGGGAGCCACCCACAGGCAGGGACATTGTAACTCACAGCTGCACACTCTGTAGCCATACTGTTGGCCCTGCAAGTTATCACAGACACCAGACTGACAGCAGGCTTTGCGTGGCTTTCGAGGCCCAGGAGCCCGGGAGCTTCTCCACCACCTCATCCTGTGTTCCTGACTCTCGCACCAAGTCCCAAAGGTCGTGCCGTGGACTGCACGTTTGGGTGTGTGCTTTTATGGCCAACACTCCCAGCCCCTGCCTCTGTACCCCAAAGACCCTCCCTGTGGCACTGTGACAATGAATGAAGTCTTTGCAGGATGCCCCAAGTCCAGCTCCCTCCCCCTGGGGTCCCTTGTGGCCTCTCTGAAGACCTCTTTGTCCTGCTGTGGGTCACTGTGCTGTCAGGGTGCATCTGCCGTGCTCTTGGCTCTGGACCTGATTCCGGGTCAGGTGTGTCTCTCTAGTGTTCCCACATCCCTCAAGACACATAGCAGCCAACCTCTCCCGTTCTCTTTGTCTCGCCCTCTAAACATCCATCACACTGTACCAAGGCAACCCCTCCCTCCAGAGAACAGCCCCCAACACTCCAGTCAGTCCCAGAGCCTGCCCCACACTGTCCCCTTACAGTAGGGGACAGGATGGGCAAAGGAGGGACAGATGGCCAGAGTTTAGGTCTTGGATTAATTGTCTGACAGCCACTGGTGCTTCACTTTCACCCCTTGGAAACTCATATAATGGTATTTGGTATATAGATATTTGATAGATAGGTATAGATATGTATGCGATGGTATTTGGTATGTATCATAACCTGCAGATACATTCTCACAGGCACAAAAGCTCTTAGATCAAGTATAAAATAAAATACAGCCATACATGCCAGTATGGAACCATTTATAAATATGAAGTGAAAAATGCAAGGTGCTTCATTTGTGTATTTAAAAGAGCATAAAAAAATAAAAAATTAAAAATTAAAAAATTTTTTTAAAAAAGAGCATAAAATTCTAGAAGGATGCAGAAGACCATATAGTTGCCTTTGGGGATGGAGACTGTTTGGAAGAAAAGCTTATATCTCTGGGTAACCGTTTTCATGCTATTTAAATTGTTAGTCTGTGCATAGTGGATATTTCCCATCGGTGTAAAGATAAAATAAATGCATGACCTTTTTATTACTAAAATCGAGTTGTTTAGTAATCTTGTTTTTGATGGTTTTGTCCCCCCCACAGCACTCTAGATGAGACTGCCTATGAAAGACTAGCAGAGGAGACACTGGACTCCCTGGCAGAATTTTTTGAAGACCTCGCAGACCAGCCCTACACATTGGAGGACTATGACGTCTCCTTTGGGGTACCTCATGGCTTATTTCAGTTACTCTGTTTCCTCCCTAAGGCTTGTAGCTTTTGGATGAAATCATAGAATTATGTCAGTCAGCTGACAGATTAAAGTGGTTGAAATGGTGTTGGATGTTGCTAGGGAACACTGCATAGAGAACAGACTCCATAGGATGGAGCAGGCAGTGAAGTCTTGGAGAAGGTGTCAAGCCTGTCGTAGGGAAATAGGTGGGGGAAATTAGAAGTAAATGGGCCAGAAAGGACTACATGCCTCCTACATGAATTCACTGGTTGCTGTCACCAATAGAAAATGCAGCGGTGTCCAGCCAGGACTGTAAAAGTGTTTATGAGCCAGGCATGGTGGCACTTGCCTGTAATCCCAGCACTCAGAAGGCTGAGACAGAAGGATCTCTACGAGTTGGAGACCCTGTCTCAAAAAAAAAGGGCTGGTGGTGCACATTTGTAGTCCCAGCACTCAAGAGGCTGATGCAAGAGGATCACAAATTGGAAGCCTGCCTAGGCTACATAGTGAGTTCAAGGCCAGCCTCTGCACCACATAGCAAGATCCTGCCTTAAAAGGGGCGGGGGGGGGGGCGGCGGCGGCAGGGATTTAGCTCAGTGGCACCAGGCCTGCCTAGCAAGCGCAAGGTCCTGAGTTCTATACCTACCCGTACCAAAAAAAAAAGTAAAAATTAAAAATTAAAAAATGGGTGTGAAGAGAGGCCTGGAGGGCCACGCTGCTTGGGAACCCTTCCAAACAATCTTTTCCACCTGACCATCCATGCAGTGATAGGAGGTGGGAAATCATGGGCCTCGTCTGCCCTGCATCCCTACCAAGGCTGTAACCACTACAGGGACACCAGCTCTCAGGCTAAACTCTGCTGTGTCTGCAAACATTGATTAACAAGCCACAAAAACAGTCACACAGCCTATTCGTCTAGGGTTAGTGAAGCCCCAGCTTGACCCAAGTGGTTCGCATGAGTGTTTCATTAGAAGCAAATATGCCAAATATGTTCTAGCAACTGGATTATTTGGTTTACCTTGTTGAATTCATTTTAATCAGATGACAAACCTTCTGCTCAGTGCCGAGTCTCAGAGCCTTCCTGAGTCCTATCCCCAGAGTGTCTCTCAGAAGAGCGTTAGGCTGCTGGGCTTTCCAGATTCCAATACTCTTTCCTGTAAAGAAAGAGGTACCTGTATTTTTCTAGCTAGGCCATACATTGTATCACTACTTACTGGGAAAAAATTATTTCTAACAAATTCCGTATGATTAGCAGACTCTCAAGTGTGGATTTACAACGCTAAAGGTATTTAGTGACTGCCTGTACAGTTTGGACTTGTAATTAAGCACCTGAAATGCTAACTATCCTGGGGTGTGAATTCCTGATTAGAGCTCTTCAGGTGCCAATTGATATATTTCTGATATAAGGTAAATCAAAAGGCATGTTGCAGACAGTGCTCCTTGGCCACAAGGACACTGTCCCTTCTTTGATCTCAGTCTCTAGAACAGTGTGGCCCACATACTTGTCCAGAACGTGGTTTCATTGACGCCAATCAGCATTTTTAGATCTCTTACTAACTTCTTACTGGCCAAGCAGACGGAAGCAATCATTCCAATAAGCCCAAGCACGTGTTCTTCAGTCCCCTCCCTTTGGAGTGGGAGGCTTGAGCAGCATGTTAGCTGTCTGTCGTAGATCTGGTGGGCCAGGTAATGGGTGAGCCTGATGTCTGGGTCCAGGCCTCACCCTTGCTGGTTATTAGAAGGAACACCCACAGAGCTGAAAGCACTTCCATTTACCAGGCAACCAATGAATCTGCTGCACTTGACCCAGCAAATGTGACTGTGGGCTGCTAGAATCACCATGATATTTGAACAATTACCTTCAACGTCTTCAAGTTTTTTTTTTTTTGGTACCGGGGATTGAACTCAGGACCTTGCACTTGCCAGGCAGGTGTGTCGCCACTGAGCTACATTCCCAGCTCCCTCTTAGATGTCTTTTTTTTTTTTTTTTTGGTACTGGGGATCGAACTCGGGTCCTTGCGCTTGCGAGGCAGGCAGTGAAACCACTGAGCTAAATCCCCGGCCCCTCTTAGATGTCTTAATAGGGATTTGCTTGTTGCCATGTTGTCACTAAATTGGCAATGTGTTACTGCCTCAGAGGAGAGGTCTCCTAACATTTCTTCTAGTGGACCAAGCCCACTAGAAGAATCTGATGGCTGTTCTGGACCCTCTCCTGAGAAACATTTCCACACTCCCCTGTGAGCACAGTTCACCTACACAGTGGGGGCTGTTAGCTTGCAGGCCCACTTTTGGATCCCAAATTAAGGCTCCCTGCTCAGAGGCCACACTTTATTGAATAAGAGAACAAATATATGGCCTCCTGGAGTTAAATTTCCTAAGAATTCTAACCTGAGTTACCTAACTTCTTTGAGCCACAGGTTCCTCAGCTATGATAGGGAGGCATTAACCCCTACTTCTTCAGGTTTCTGTTAGGATTACTCAGAACAACATAGGGCTGGACATGCAGCTCGGTCGTAGTATGCTTAGCAAGCATTCAGTCCCCAGCATCATAGAACAAAAAACCAAAAGTGCTTCATATTCATTAGCCTTACTCCTTAAGGGGAAGTCACACATATATAAAGCCTCCTGACTCGTGTCTTTCCACAAACAGGCTGGGGACAACAGTAGTTGCAATTTTTGCGTTTATAGTGCTGATACTAACTAGCAGGAATTAATAAGCCTCAACAGCTGGGCCAAGGTCTGCTCTCATTGGCTGGGCCAGGGCCTGGTCTCATTGGCTGGTGCCAGGGTCTGTTCTGATTGATTCTTTTTTTTTTTTTTGGTACTGGGTATTGAACTCGGGACCTTGCGCTTGCAAGGCATGATTGGTTCTTATTTCTCAGCAAGTGCTCAGTATTTTCCCTCTCCTGAATGTCCTGTGCTTGAGTGTGCCCACACTCCCCAGGCAGATTGCCTGAAAAAGAATAATAATAATGAATAAAATGCCTTCTTCAGGCCGGGGATTTAGCTCAGTGGTTTCACCGCCTGCTGTGCAGGTGCAAGGACTCAAGTTCGATCCCCCGTACCAAAAAAAAAAAAAAAAAGCCTTCTTCGTATTATCTACTTGAAGACAATTCCAAAAGCATAAATGTACCCCAGTGAACCAGTATGGTCACTGGTTTCTTTGGTTTGAAATAGCTTCTAGCTTCAAGCTCCGTGGGAAGAGAATCAGATGACTTGTGGTGAGCAAGCAATGGGAGAGTTGTGTTGCGATTTCTACCTGATATAACTTTGCCCTTCACTTTGGCAGACAGAATCTCCATGCCTGGTCAGCACCTGCCCTATCACCTTTTGAATGTCCCTGTATTCACCCAGAAATGTCCTTTTGTATCCTGCTCACATTTTGCTGAAAGAGTAAGAGTTGCTAGACACTGGATATGCTAGAACGAAAGGCAACATTCTTGTTCCCGAGGTGGGGCAGGGCACTCTGATTGATTGCAGGGAGCACAGTGCTAAGGTGGTAAGAAACACAAGAGCTGTGGGGACCCAGAGCCTTCCCAGAGACACCTGAGCAGGACTGGAGCAGATTGGCCCATTGACTCGGGGGGGGGGGGGGAGCAGGTGAGCTGTGAGAAGGTACCAGGTAGGGGAGTTTCAGAGCTATAGAGTTCAAAGGACTCTCACTTTTGTTTTCTGTTTGTTTTTGGTGCTGTGGATGGAACCAGGGCCTTGTGCATGCTAACCAGTGCTCTGCCACTGGGCTACACCTACAGCCCTCTCATTTGTATTATTAATATGCTTTTCATGGAAGAGTGGGCTATTCCTTTTTTTTTTTTCTGCCTGGTGGGTATTGAGCCCAGAGCCTTTGCACTGAGCTACATCCCCTGCCCTTTGTTATTTTTTATTTGGAGACAGAGTCTCACTACATCACTTGAACTTGCAATCCTCCTGTCTCAGCCTCTCAGAATGCTAGGATTACAGCTATGTCTCACTGTGCCCAGCTGAAAAAAAGTTTGTTTTAAATAAACTTACATACAGTATATTTCTTGCCCTCTAAAAATCACATTTAGAAAAGAATCCTACCACAGCAATATATGTGCACCCATGTTCATAGCAGCACAGTTTGTAATAGCTAAAGCTTGGAAACAGCCCAAGTGCCCATCAACTGGAAACTGGATAAAGAAGATGTGGTTTTTTTCAAAATAGAGTACTACTCATCCATAAAGAACGAGAAACTAGAGACATTTATAGCTAAATGGATGCACATTGAGGCGATACTCTTAAGTGAAATAAATAGGACACACATGTATAAATACCGAATAGTTTCTCTAGTGTGAGAAACTGAAAGTGTAAATAAGGATTAAAATGATTAAAATGAATAATTGATAATTTGAAATAGGAAGAAAAGGTCCAAAGGTGTAGGGGTGGTGGGAGGGGAAGGGGAAGGGGAAAGGAAAGAAGGGAAGGAAAAATTATGAGAAAAGAGAAAAATGGAAATGAAATCTATGTAAATAAGGAAGGGTGGAGGGGGTGAAGGGTGCACAGGTAATGGGAAAATAAGAACCAAGATACATCATGTTCAGGTACAAACACCCAATGATAAATGTAAACAAATTGTGTACCTAAAATGTACCAATAAAAGAATTTAAGAAAAATAAATAAACTGAAATTCAAAAAAAAATCACATTTAACTTGGCATGGTGGTGGCACGTGCCTGTAACCCCAGCACTCTGGAAGGCTGAGGCAGGAGGATTACAAGTTTGAGCCCAGTCTTTGCAATTTAGCAAGACCTTGTCTCAAAATAGGAAAGGGCTGGGGTTGTAGCTCAGTGCAAAGGCTCTGGGTTCTGTCCCCAGTACCATAAATGAATGAATGAATGCACTTAAGGGGCTGAGAGTGTAAGTCAATAGTAGAGCATGTGCTTCACATGCAAGGTGCCGAGTTTGGTGACCAGCACCAAAAAAACAAACAAAATGCATTTACAGTTAGCAGCTTCCTGGCATGGTGGCACCTGCAGGTAATCTCAGCATTTCATAAGGCTGTGGCAGGATGATCACCATTTGAACCTAGCCTGGACACTTAGTCACTTAGTAAGACCTTGCCTCAAAATAAAAAAGGGCAAAATAAAGTAAACAGCCACACTAGGCACAGTGGCACACACCTATAATCTCATTGCTCTGGGAGGCTGAGGAAGGAGAATCACAAGTTTAGCCCAGCATGAGCAATTTAGCAACTTAGTAAGACTCGAAAAATAAAAAAGGGCTGAAGATGTAGTTCAGTGCAAAGGCTCTGGATTTAATCCCCAGACCGACCCCCCCCCACCCCTGCCATAGCAGCCAAGTCAAATCACAAAAGAAGAAATACTGCTTGCTGACATTCATGAGATAATCAAAAGTAGTCAAAATCATAGAAACAACACCATAAATACATAGTTTTATTTGTCCATTATAAATAAATAAAGGAAATAGGAACACACTTGTAATCCCAGCAGTTGGAAGGCTGAAGCAGGAGTATTGTTTGTTCGATCCCAGTCTGGGCTGCTTTGTCTCAAAACATAAGCTGGACATACTTGTAATCCCAGCATTCAAGAGAATGAGGCAGAAGGATTGCTGCAAGTTCGAGGCCAGCCTGAACTACATAGAGAGACTCTGTCTGCAAAAAACACCAAAAATAAATAAGAAATAAGTAAATTTTAAATTTAAAGTAGGCTGGGTGTACACACCTGTAATCCCAGCAGTTGGGAGGCTGAGGCAGGAGGGTCACAAATTCAAGGCCAGCTTGGACAACTTAGTTAGACCTTGTCTCAAAAAATTAAAAGGAGAGGGGCCAGGGATTTAGCTCAGTGGTGCCACCGCCTGCCTCATAATCAGGACCCAAGTTCGATCCCCGGTACCAAAAAAAAAAAATTAAAAGGGCTGGGGATTTGGCTCAGTGCCACCGGGCCTACCTTGCAGGTGCAAGGTCCTGAGTTGGATCCCCAGTAGCAAAAACAAAAAATTTAAAAGGGCTGGGGATGTAGTTCAGTGTAGAGCAGCCCTGGGCTCCATCCCCACTAACACAAATAAATAAAGTAGTCAGAATCATAGAAAGCAGGAATGTGGTTACCAAGGGCTGGGAGGAGAATTAGTAGGCAGAGTATAGAGGTTCAGTGACACAAGAAGAAAAGGCTTTAGAGATGTGCTGCACACACTGTTAGTGTGCTTGGCACCCTTGAACTGTGTGCTTGGAAATGGTTAACATGACAGGACTGGGGGCCAGGGATTTAGCTCAATGGTTCCACCGCCTGCCTCGCAAGTGCAAGGTCCCAAGTTCAGTCCCCTGTACCAAAAAAACAAAAACCAAAAACATGACAGGACTGGGGTGTGGCTTAGTGGTAGACTGTTTGCCTCGCATGCAGAGCCCTTGAGTTCATCCCAGCCCACACACACACAAAAAAACCTAGTAGTGTCTCCCTTCCCCGTCCAAGCCTATCCCCTATATCACTGCTGTTACAGCCTCCTGCATTTAAATCCCTCTCTGTTTGTGAAGACTGTATCTGGAGAGTCATCCTGGGACCTCTGATTGGAGGAGAGCTCCAGAGGAACAGAGAGAGGCCACCCTGTCCCACCTGGCTCCCTGTTCGTACAGCCTTTCCTTTCACACCCTGCCCATTCAAGAGTGGAGGCCAGGGGGTAAAGGGCTCCTGTGTTTTCAAATTGAAATGGGCACTTAGGGGCAGAGATGGGCCCACGAGTCTTTAGGGAATTCAAGGCTCTTTAGAGGAAAATGAAGCCTTATCGGAGGGTCTGAGGTACTGTCAGATACATGGGAAGGATCAAAAAATAACAAATGTAGGCTGGAGTTGCAGTCTTCTACCTACTTAGCTAAGGCCATTGGTCTTCTAAGACTAGAAAGGCAGGCATATTGATGGCTTCCTTTTCTTTTTTTTTTTTTTTTGGTACCGGGGATCAAACTCGGATCCTTCTGCTTGCAAGGCAGGCGGCGGAACCACTGAGCTAAATCCCCCGTCCTGGCTTCCTTTTCTTTCTTTTCTTCTTATTGGACTTGTCACATCCAGTGCCTGGGTGACAGTGTACTCTGGAGTTGGTATCTGTGTTTGTAACGTCCTCCAGCCTGCTCTGTTGGTGGTTGGGGGCAACAAGCCAGCAGTCACATTTGGCAGGGCTGAAACCTCAGATGAGGCAACCAGTTCTCACTTCGCCATGCTCACAGGGTATAGGAAAAGTGCTAGAGAAGTCAGCATTATGATCAGTCTTATTCTGATCCTGAGAGCAGTGTTCTTCCTACATGATCTCCTATTTCTAAATACTAAAGACTTTTTCCTTTTTCAGTGCTGGGGATGAAACCCAGGGCCTCTCCTGCTAAGCACATGGCTCTGCCAAAGAGCTACATTTCCAGGCCCATGAAGACATTTCTTTATGATACATATTGCATGTTTGTATACATGAAGAGTGTGGAGAGATAACAGAATACAAAGCAATTATGGCAAAGGGCTGACTTTGACTTTATTTGACTTTTTATTTATTTGACTTTATTTTCTTCATGCTCTCTTGCACCTGAACTCCTAGAGTGGCGTCTTGACAGTTAAACTAGGTGGAGACCTAGGAACTTACGTGATCAACAAGCAGACCCCAAACAAGCAGATCTGGTTGTCTTCTCCCTCCAGGTAAGTATGGAGGTCAGTATCTGTAATGATTAAACTCCTTTAAAATGTGACATGAGGGCCAGGGATTTAGCTCAGTGGTTCCGTCGCCTGCCTTGCAAGCGGAAGGATCCGATTTCGATCTCCGGTACCAAAAACAAAATAAAATGTGACATGAGCCAAGTGTGGTGGCACATGCCTGGAATCTCAACACTCTGAGAGGCTGAGCCAGAAGGATGAAAAGTTCAAACCCAGCCTTGATAATTTAGGGTCTTAGTGAGACATTGTCTCAAAAAAAATTTTTTATTTTTTGGTACTGGGTATCAAACTCGGGTCCTTGCTCTTATGCAGCAGGTGGCAAAACCAATGAGCTAAATCCCCGTCCCCTCAAAAAAATTTTGAAAGACTTGAGGATGTATCTTAGTGCAAAGGCTCTGGGTTCAATCCACAGTACCATTACAGTTAATTTTTTAAATATGGTGTCATGAACCATTTGATATGGGTCAGCCTCCATGTTAGTATCTGTAAGTGGCCCTTTCCTGGAGTTTTTTTGTTTGGTTGGTTGGTATTTTCGATTTTTCGAGACAGTGTCTCTCTATAGTAGTTCAGGCTGGCCTTGAACTCACTGTGAAGCCCAGGCTAGCCTCGAACTCGGGACAGTCCTCCTATGTCAGCCTCCCAAGTGTGTGCACCACCATGCCCAGCTCCTGGTGTTTTACAGCTGTCTCGCACTGCTCTGAGCCTTTACTCTAGATACATAACCTCCATGCTGATAACTTGGCTATAATTAGCAGGCATCAGGATGTTGACAAGATCCAAAGAGAAAAGTTTATAACTTTTCAGAACTCAGCCTAGACAATTTCTATGAAAGAGAAAATGATTATTGCTCAGGAACTGGGAGTGTAGCTCTGTGGTAAAGCTCTTACCTATTATCTGTGAGGCTCTGGGTTTGATCCCCAGCACAGCAAAAACAAGCTCATTTTAATATGGCAGCATCTGAACAAGTTGTACTTTGTCTTATTTTTAGCATCTCAGCCAAAGTTCCGTTGCATTCCCTGGGCAGGGCTGAGCTGCAGGCCTTGTGAAGGTGCGACAGTGGCTGAAGTTGCTTCTCCAGGGCATCGGTCTCTCCTGCCTCTCCCGCTCATGGGCTTTCAGTCCAGAGAAAAAAGCTTGTGTTCAGACAGTCTGCGCCTCACAGCCAGCAGCCTGCAGCTTGGCTGCTCTTGAAGTGGTTGGAAGAAAGGGAAAGAGTGTTACCTACCAAAAGCCCTCAGCCCACCCTGCCCGGATCATTCATTAGCACTCCAGAGAGAACATTTAGATTGAGCATCGGGAAAGGCAAAACTATAAGCAATATGGAATTCTTTGAAAGACTAATTGTATTTGCAATTTTTTAAAAAAGAATAACCAAGGGACATAGCACAGTGGTAGAGCCCTTGCCTTATATGGAGCCCTGGATTCATCCCCAGTACTAAAACAAACAAAAAAAGTATATACTAAAAGTATATACTACTAGATAATTATGACTTCCTAGAAATTCCAAGAGTATGTTCTTAAAATCTGTAATTAATGTGGAATACTGAAAGGAAAATTTACTGAGTACCCACTATTGTCGCAGCTACTATATTTATAAATAAATAAGTATTCTGCTTTTCGTATTTGTCCAGAATACTTTTCAATTGGGCATGATGGTGTATGCCTGTAATTCCCGCACTCAGGAGACTGAGGCAGGAGGATTGCCATGAGTTCGAGGCCAGCCTGGGCTGCATAGTGAGTTCTGAACTACACAGCAAGACCCTGTCTCAAAAAAAAAAAAAAATACTCTTCAAAGATGTTATGATTTAGATCCAAAATGTTCCCTAAAGTCTCCTGTCTGGAAAATGATTGATCATGGGAGTGCTGTACTCATCGGTGGATTTATCCATGGATGATCTCAGTAGCTAAATGTGTTGTTTGGAGGTAGGACTGAGGTGGGACTTGGAAGGGTGTATTCTCCTGCCTGGCTCCTGCCATCTCTCTCTGCTTCATGACTACTGTACAGTAAAGAGCTTTCCTCTGCCTTGCTGCTTCTGCCTTGGAGCTGCAGACCATGGACTGAATCCACTGAAGCCATGAGCCAAAATAATTGTCTCCTCCTTTAAGTTGTGGATGTCAGGTACTATGTCTCAGTGATGAGAAAGCTGACTATCACATTAGGGCTGGGTTTCTGATTTTTTTTTTTCTTTCAGTTGATAGCTTTTCAGGACCTGTGGGATTAGCATCTCCTAGTCACCCTGCCCACCCTGAGGAAGTCGTAGGGTAAAGGAGCAGTCTGGGGACTCCTGGGCTCAGAGCCCATGGGCAACATGGAGGGGATGGATGGCTACCTGAGAGCAGATTCTGAGTACAAGGCCAAGGAACATTTTTGTTGTTTGTTTGTTTTTGTTGTTGTTTTTATACAGCCCAGGTGGTTTATGTTCAGTAGTTTGTACACATTAAGCAAAAGTCCTGTCAATTTGATTTTTCCCTCTTCCTGCGTTGTTGAGCATATGTTCAAACCCCAACATTTAGGCAGCAACATAGAAAGCCCCCCCCCCTTTTTTGAGACAAGGTCTCACTGTGTAGTTCAGGCTGGCCTCAAACTCATGGCAATCCTCTCGCCTCAGCCTCCTGAGTGCTGGGATTATAGGCATGCACCACCATGCCTGGCTACCCACCATGCCCAGCTACTACATAGAAACGCTTGATACTTTTTTTTTGGTTGTGGTGGTGGTACTGAGGATTGCACACAGTGCCATCTCACTGGCCATCTCACCGAGCTACATCCCAGGCCTTTTCATTTTTCATTTTTTTATTTTAACGCATGGTCTCAGTTAATTGCCCAGGCCACACTTAAATTTAAGCTCCTCCTGCCTCACCTTCCCAGAGTGCTGGGATTACACATGTGTGCCATGTGGCTCCTGATACTTTTATAGCCTAGATTAAGACCCTTCACATCAACTCCCAATTGCCAGCCCTGCCCCACCTGTCTCTGGAAATGCTCCCTCGGGTACTCTGCTCTGTGCCTGCCTCCGTCAGGGCGTCACTGTGTATCATTATAATCTGCTCTGTCCACCCTCTCCGCTAGGCCATAAGGAGGTAGGATTTGAGACTCCGTCATGTACAGCTGTTATAACAGTTCATGGCAAAAACCAGCTACACATTTGTCTACACAAATACAGTGTATTGTCAGTACTGTATTACATTACCATGGAGAACTGTGGCAACTGACTTATAAAGAGAACCAGCTTATTTCGCTCGGAGTTTGGGAGTGTCAGAGTCCAAGATTGGCCTGGCGGGGGTGAATGTGCTACAGCCTCTTGTAAGGGTGGCACATCATAGCAGAATCATGTGAAGGGGTGACCATCACATCTCAGGACAGGAGGTAGAGGATGAATAGGGTCCCATAATTTCTTTCATGGGCATACCACCATCAGCTTAGGGTGTCCCACATGCCTCTCCTCTTTAAGGTTGCACAGCACCTCCCAGTACCACCATCCTGGGGACCAAGCCCTATATCAAGGACACATCCAACCCATAATACACAGCATTCCCAAGGTGAAGTCCATGTGCCATTTTTTTTAACTAAATGAGCTTGAGGTAGATGAACTAGCCCATCCAGCTCTTAATTTGACAGATTTAAATTTTAATTTAATTCCACCGCCTGCCTCGCAAGTGCAAGGTCCTGAATTAGATCCCTGGTACCAAAAAAAAATTTTTTTTAATTTAAAAAGGTATTTTTAAAAAATAATATTTTAAATGGTTGCCAGGGCCTGGGAGAGAATTGGAAGTAAACAATAGTGTAGGTAAGGGCCAGGGATTTAGCTCAGTGGTACTGCGCCTGCCTCTCAAGCACAAGGTCCTGAGTTCGATCCTTGTTACCAAAAAAAAAGTAGTGTAGGTAAGTCACAATCAGTCATGTCAGTGATGCAAGAATGGTCAGGATTTCACCAGGCATGGTGGCACACACCTGTAATCCCAGCTCTGGGGAGGCTGAGACAGGAGGATCACTGTGAGTTTGAGGACAGCCTGGGCTACATAAGTGACTTCAAGGTCAGCCTGAACTACATAGTGACCCTTTCTCAAGAAAAGAATGGTCATGATTTCATAAACACTGCTCCAAGACAACAGGTGCCATATGGAAGGTAGGAAAAGTGAGAAATCAGACTGTGATGTACAGAGACTCATCAGTAAGGGTCAGATGATTTCCTTTGCAGAGTCCGTCCTGTGAGTCCGTCCTTACTATCCTGTGAGAAAATAAATTCCAAAGGGGGAAACACTTACTTGCCTTGTAGTTTTAGAGATGTCAGTCCATGGTCGCATAGTGAGATAGCACATCATGGTGGGGAGCTCATGGCAGAGGATTCTGCTCACCTCATGAAGGCAAAGAGAGAAAACGGGCTCAAGTCCCAGTGTCCCCTCAAGGGCACACCTCTAGTGACCTAGCTCTCTTCCACCAGGCCCCGCCTCCTAAAGGTCCCACCATCCTCCCAGTAGCACCACAGGCTCGTGTCGAAATACACGACCTTTAAGGGACATTAAAGACCTAAACAATGTTCAATCCCCAGTACCAAAAAAAAAAAAAAGAGGAAAAGACCCAAACCATAACATAGTGGTTCTCTGATTGGATGTCCACATGGACTTACTGAGCATTTGTTTGTCTTCCAGTGGACCCAAGCGCTATGACTGGACTGGAAAGAACTGGGTGTACTCTCACGATGGCATATCCCTCCATGAGCTGCTGGCCAGGGAGCTGACTGAAGCCTTAAAAACCAAACTGGACTTGTCTTCCTTGGCCTATTCTGGAAAAGGCACTTGATGGCCCTCCAAGTTTTAAAGATGTTAAATGCTGTGAGGCCAAGATCCCAGCTTCCTTCTGCAGCTGAGTGTCTTTTTTTCCCCATTCCTCCTTTTGAGGGCAGCCACAGAATGTGGAAGGCTCTGTGAAAAGAACGTGTTAACACCCACCCTGCCCCAGAATCTGATTTTTAATTTCTACAGGATTGTTTTTGATTGTCTGATTACCTCCCTCACATGATACATCTTATCTTCTGTAATGTCTTATTTCCATACCTTAATGCAGTAATAACCTTACCAAAAGAAAACAAAGAAAAATCCCAGGAGGAGAAATGAATTGTCTTCATTCTTTGAAGGATTTACTGCAAAAGCCACATGAAGAGCAGCCAGCCACCCTCAACGTTCTGTTTGAAAATGAGACTCACTGAAGAGTAGTTTTTAAATGTCCTCATGCCTCTTCCAAAGCATACACATTTCTGAGCCCTTTGATATTGTCAAAAGAAACTCAACTGAAGACTATTCCCACTTGTGCTTTGTGACTGTTAGGATATGATCTGCATTGCGTTATGCAGAGGACCTTGTGCTTTTGCTTCCATTTATTTGTATATCTATGCACTCACACACACATACTGTGTGTGTGTGTGTGTGTGTGTATACTTTTTTCTTAGTTTGAAACCCCCAAAGACAAAACATTTTTCCATAACTGGAAGGATGTAATACAAGCAGTGTTGTGAAGCTGAGAAGGTACATTATAAATATGAAGGGCCAGGGCCAGGGATTTAGCTCAGTGGTTTGGCTGCCTGCCTTGCAAGCACAAGGTCCCGAGTTCCATCCCTGATACCAAAAAAAAAATGAAGGGATAAACAGGAAAGAGATATATTCATAAAATAACAGTGGTTCTGGACTGCACTGCAGCCCTGAAGCAAGTCTTATCTGTGCACACATTCCCAAAGTCCCTAGACCTCTGTTTTCTCCTCTGTTAAGTAAAAGAATAGAATTGATCCCCAAAATTCAGACAACCTGTCTGGCAACCCAGTGGGCCACTTTTAATTCCCACTAGTTAGATGAGATGACTGTCATCAGTTTTTTAAGCAATAAAATAAACATATTGTTGCGGTACTGATTTGGAATTTTGGTTTAAGTTATGTTGAAATACTAGCTGTCCATTATGCCGTCATTGTGTTAAGCCTAACACACCATATACTGTTTTAAATTATACATGAAGCAACAAGACTCCAGAACATAAAACTGACCCAGAGTTAGGGTTGGTTTGGTTTGGTTTTCTTTTGTGATGGTACTGGGGATGGAACCCAGGACCTCTGTATGGACCCACATCCCCAGTGTTTTTTGTTGTTTTTTTTTTAGACACACTCTTGCGTAGTTGCCCAGGCTGGGCTTGAACTTTTGATCCTCCTTAACAAAGGCAATCCATGTTATAGAGCTGTTAAAACATTGAACACGAGGGCCAGGGATTTAGCTCAGTGGTTCTGCTGCCTGCCTTGCAAGCTTAAGGGCCCGAGTTCAATCCCCGGTACCCAAAAAATAATAAAAATAAATAAATTATAACCTTTTTTTTTTTGTACTAGAGATTGAACCCAGGGCCTCGTGCATGCTAGACAAGCACTCTACTATTAAGCTACATTGCCTGTCCTTTTTTATTTCTTATTTTGAGGCAGTCTTGTTGATTTGCTCAGGCTAGCCTCAAACCTGCAATTTCCCTGCTACAGTCAATAGCTGAGAACACAGATATGTGCTGCGACACCTGGTTTTTAATCCAAACTTTAAAAATTTAGCCCACATTCCTTTGCTACTTACTTGCTTACTGACACTAATTTCAGTCTTATCTGCAAAATGGAGATCTGCAATATGTTGAACCTGAGCCACATGCAAAGCATAGTTCTATTACAAAATACAACTGCCATTGTGATGTGCATAGCATAATTTTTTATTCAAATTGGGGATGTTCCCTCTTTTTTTTTGGTACCAGGGATCAAACTTGGGTCCTTGCGCTTGCGCAGCAGGTGCCGAAACCACTGAGCTAAATCCTCAGCCCCTTCCCCTCTTTTTGTTTTTTTTGTTTTGGTGCCAGGGTTCCAACTTAGGACCTTGCGCTTGCAAGGCAGGCAGCAGAACCACTGAACTAAATCCCCAGCCCTGCTTTCCCTCATTTTTATTTGTCATCCTCAGCCTTGAACTTGCAGAAAGCTTGTCTTGCTTACCTTGTGATGGACTATTTCCTAGACAGCTTCTCCTCTGCCCTGTCATGCTTATATTTTATTCTACCTTTTGTATCCATTCCAAACATACTTACACCAACTGTAAATCCAATAGTTTGTATTAAGTAGTTGTGCTACACCTGCCTCAAATTCTGATGAACCCCATTGCCGCCTCTAAAGGAAAACTCATGTCTGTAAAAGTGAAGTGCATGTGGATTGATGATCCAAGTTGCCAAGGGAAACTGGCTTCCTCCTTCCAAGGTACACACGAAGATTAAAGCACTTTAGTTCATGTCCAGTAGAATTCTTGGCATGGATTTATCTTTTGCAAACTAAAAGCTGCATGACAGAGAAAGAGGGGAGGAAACCTCCCCTTTATATGAAACCTCATATAAATTTACACTGCTTTTCCAAACAATTTCATGACTGTCTTTCTGTATATAGTTAGAGTAAGAAATACCTTCAGATCCTTGGTTTGACTTAATTAGCCAGGGTCCTGGGAGTACTTTCTAAGATTCTGATTAATGGCCCCTTTGGAATGTGTGAAATGGCACTCATTTTTATCCTTCTGTCAGCTACAGAGACAAAATCCAAGCTCCAATGTTCTATCTTCCCTTGCTGTATCATTTAAGAAATAGGACACATCAGAATAGATTTATTGGACTGTTTATTAGCTGAAGATTTATTCAGACTGTTGAGGAAAACACCTGCACCCAGCAGCAAAATTGGCCCCCAGGATTTTCTTCTACTGTGGAAAGTCAAGCTGCTTTTTCTACGGTGAAGAGAAAAGTCAGAGCTCTGAGTCTCCTTCCAAGTTTAAAGGCTGGGGAAGACAGACTACTGCCATCCAATCCACGTGCTTCTCTTTGATCGGTGGGACACTAGGGGTGCCACATCTCTTTTTCTTTTCCTCTCTTTCAAAGGATTTGTTTCAGAATTGCTTGAGTCTGAATTCAGTGATATCCTTGGACCAAGAAGCTGTACTTAAGATTTTTGTGTTTAGAAGAATTTTGCTTCCTGGTTTTTTTTTTGTTTTTTTTTTGGTACCGGGGATGGAATTTGGGTCCTTGCGCTTGCGCAGCAGGAGGAGAAGCCGAGCTAAATCCCCGGCCCCCCTGCTTTATTTTTATAAGCACTGCAACATTCAGTAGACAGTCATTTTTTACCATCTGTGGCATGTCTAAAACAAGACAGAAAAAGTTAAAATCTAAAGAATAAAATAGAGGATAAGCTGGTCATGGTGGCGCACGCCTGTGACCCCAGCACTGTGAGGCTGAGGCAGGAGGATCACAAGTTTCAGCCCAGCCTGGGCGGTTTACTGACTTAGCAAGACCCTGCCTGGGTTCAATCCCTAGTACCACAAAGAAACAAAAAATTAATATAAATATGAAGGGGAGGGGCCTGAATATTTAAAATTCCTCATTCGCATAGGTCTTGAGTTACAATCACATTCATCTCTGCTAAAAGAACTGTTTTGAGTCAGAAATGCTGTATTTTATAACTGTAGAGACTGAACTTGGACCTGAGCTTGGAGATTTCCAGGCACTGCATGAATGACAGGCTCTGTGCCAGACAGCTGGCCCATACTGGCGTGGGTCCTACTTGGCTTGTGAAAACTTTATAAATATCTCTGAAACCCAAACTTCCCACTTCTCAGAAACCAATTGTCTTAATCTGATTCTTAATACTTTTTTAAACCAATTCAAAAAACTTCTCAGCAAGATTACGTGCACGTCTGTTGCCTGTGGACGGATACAGAGAGACCAAGTATGGCTATGAATGAAGCCCTGGTGGTCACAGAAGCTGTGAAAAAGGCCCGGACCAGCTCTGTGCTTTGGGGACCCCCCGGGTTACAGCAACCTGAGGAGAGTGTGAGTCCATCAACTGCTGATGACTGAAGCTCCACTCATCAGCCTCCAGCTCGTTTTTACCCATTTCACCTGCTCAAGCAGGGACACCACTTGCTCGCTGCAGTTGGCTTCACAGAGAAGTGTCTCTTGTCCTCTGAGGCCTCTCCAGCTCCTCCTGCTCCCTAGGTGCTAGGGGATGAGGGAGGGCCAAGGTTGAGGCCCTGAAAGCAGACCTGATGACAGGACTTCCACAAGGACAGGGGGAAGGCAGCCATTTCCTCTCCAGCAGAATTCCCACTTCCCTAGTGGCTGTGGCACTTTCCTCAAAGTCCTGCCCCTATGCCTGCGGGAACAGCCTCCTTACAACTGCCAGGATGATAGTGGGCCCTGGGATGCCACATGTCAACCTCAAAAATTTTGAGGTTTTTTTTTTTTTCCTTTTGTGGTACTGGGGATTGAACCCAAGGCCCTGACACTGAACTACATACCCAGCCCCTTTTTAAATTTTGTTTTTTTTATTTTGAGCCAGGGTCTTACTGAGTTGTCCAGACGGGGCTAAAACTTGTGATCCATCTTCCTCAGCCTCCCAGAGTGCTGGGATTACAGGTGTGCACCACCATACTCAGCTGATCTCCATATTTGTAGCTCCTGTTTCTGCCATGTTAAGTGGAGAGGTAGCTAAATTATATAGAAAAAGAGACTGTTGCTCCTCAGTTACATTCCTTGCCTACTCCCTTCTACAAGGCTAGTTGAGTTTTTTTCAAAGGGAAGTAGCTTAAGTAAATCCTAAGAGAAAGAAAAACTTTTAAATCTCCAATGATCAAAAGTAATAGAACCAGATAAATTTAGCATTAGGATTGCTATGTAAGGCTGTCCAGCCTGTGCACTGCACGACTCAGAAACCAGTGTTTACAGAGAGATTACCATAGCTATAATGCAATGTGAATGATATCACTTAGAGCCACACAAACTGTACAGAGCATATCTACCTGATCTTGTAACCAGTGCTGCAAAATGGATTTAAAAGTTACATTTTTTTTTTCCTTTAGAAACTAGTGGCTTCTCCAAACTTCCTCAGCCCTGGGCATAATCAGCTCCCCCAGCTCTCCTCAGCCCAGATGAAGGGACAGAATACAAAGAGGCTGGCACCAGGGGGCAAGCGCAGTTTCATCCCCTCAGGCAAGGTAGGAGAGGTCCTGGTCCAGGGAGGACACAGCTGTTTCTCCATCCCCTACCCACTGTTCACTGCTATAAAAAAAACCCATACACTTGTACACAGTGAGATGGTGATTTGAGCAAGAGTCCTCCATCTCCTCAGAACTAGCTTTGAATAAATGTACTTTTTCATTTTTCTCCCCAGAATAAACGGGCTCCTTTATTTGGTCATCAGTGAGCAAATGAACCAGGCATGTGGACCTAAGTGGTCGCACCAAGCCTGCTAGGATTTACCTTGCCTGCCGGTCAGCGGTTCCATAGGGATTCACCCCACAGGCCCAGCTGAGGTCTTCCCATTCCCACCTGAGTTGCTGCACAAGCTTCCTTGCTTGTGTATCCTCTGTTCTTCTCAGACCATCCTGCTCCCTGCCTCCAGAGGAAGCTTTGAGGGGGCACACAGTTCCTTGGGCCTGTAAGACCTTAGCCGGACCAGGTCAGACCTGACTGAATTCCAGATTCTGAGTGGAAACTTGGGCTCCTGTGTCCTGACTCTGCACCGAGGCTTTGAGTGTGTGCTGAGGCCCATACTCTGTCCTCTGCTCTAACCATTTTACATCCCCAGGTCCCCGTGCTGTGTCACAGGGCTCTGAGACTTGGCCCCTATTGTTTCCTGTTGGTCTTTATTCCCCACTCTCCCTGGGAGTAGGGTTATTTCACCTTAAAAAACATTCTTGGCATGGTCCTGGTGGTCTCTGTGTGGGCTCAGCCTCTGTCTAGACACCTTGACTGTTCCTTGTGCTTGACACTAATGGAAACAGGAATCATGTAGCCTACCTTTCGTGTCTTCTGCTGGGAATGCAGCCATGATGACAATGCATATACCTTGTGTCTGCTGGAGCCCC